CTCCCATGCAGTATGGTAGGCCTCTTGGTATGTGGCTGGGGGTTTCCGGCAGAACTCCTTGTATAGTTCCCCAGCACGCAAGCCATTCAAGAGGAGGGAGAGGACGGTCTTGTCATCCATCTCTTCCACCTTGTCTACCTCTTCCTTCCACCGGGTAAGGAACTGAGTGAGGTTCTCAGACTCCCTCTGCCCGGCTGTAATAAGATAGGTGAACTTCTTCCTCTTAGTACAATTCTCCTGGAACTTGGCCTTGAACTTTGAGGCCAAATCACTGAACGAGTCAATGCTTCCCGGGCGAAGCTTATTGAACCATTCAGTGACTCGGTTCCGCAAGGTCTGGAAGAAAAGTAGGCACTTTTCTTCATCGGTGCAACCGTTCATGGTCGCACTCTAGTTGAAGGAGTCCAGGTGGATTTCCGGATCTTCCTTCCCGGTGAATCTGGGGGCGTCGATCTTGACCTTTCGCGGGAAAGGTGTCAGATGGACCCTTGTGGTGAACGGGGACCCTGCCAGGGGTTTGTCCCGGTCATTCTTCTCCCCGACCTTCTTTTCTAGTCTTTCCAGCTTTGCCTCCATCTGTTGGACGCGGCCGTTTGGGATGGTTAACCGGTTCGCCACCGGTAACCTGGGCTGGCTTTCTGCCTCCCCTTCCTGGTGGGAGGCCCTCGTCCTCGCTGGCTCCTGCCGGTTAGACCGGGAGCGCCGGGTGCGGGCAGGCTTGGCCTCCCGCACCTCGCCTAGCCGGGCGAATGCGCTGACATGGGCAACGCTCTGCCCCAGCCTTTGCTTGGCTGACTTCCTCTGGCCTTCCTCCCTATCCCCAAGCCTTTCGAAGGCGGAGTTTCGGGAGGTCGCCGGCCGGATGTTTTTTCCTTTCTTCTTCTTGTGGGCCCTCGGGATTTCCCACTCGCCGTCATTGCTCTCAATTGAGACGTAATGACCATCAGGAGTGATCTGCGGATCCGTAGCTTGCGGGGGACGCGACGGCTCTGCAGCGTTAAATGCACCGGCCAAGTTGACAGGGGCCATGGTGCTGACCAGCTGGGGCTGGAAAGGTGATGGTTGCGGCATCGGCGTCTGGAACGACGTCACCGCCATCGGAGCTTGTAGGGGCATGGTCCCCGCGCCTGGAAGGGCGAATGGGAACATACCAGGGAGGAAAGGCATCCCCCCGTTCTGTTGGCACATGGCCATGACCTGGCCAAAGCCCTGGATGGCTTGTAGGTTGG